GGTAGCATGGCAGGGATTTCCGTGGTGAGCAATATTTTTCTTGTACCCTCTGCCATTAATATTGTTGTTACTGTTCATTTACTTATCTCATTGGTGCTACCAGTATATTTTTCTTATCTCAACCCATTATCTTTACCTTTTGTGCCTCCAATTCTCCTCTCCAGCCCACTGCAGGGGGAAAGGGGGGGGGGAAGCAAGTGAACAGCAGCATGGTTTAGAGTTTCAGTGGGAACATCAAATTGGGCAGTACCATTACTAAACCACAACAGGTATGGTGATCCTGACTGCACACCAGGTGCCCATCAAAGCTGCTCTATGATTCCTCTCTTCAGCTGGAGGTGGTGGTGGTGAATATAACAAAAGGCTCGTGGATCAAGATAAGAACAGGGAGAGATTAGTCACCAATTACAATCATGGGAAAAACAGACTCGACTTGGGGAAATTAGTTTAATTTATTACCAATCAAACCAGAATAGCATAATGAGAAATAAAACCAAATCTTAAAAACACCTTCTCCCCACCCCTCCCTTCTTCCTGGACTCAACTTCACTCTTGATTTTCTCTACCTCCTCCCTAACAGTGGTGCAGTGGGATGGGGAATTAGGGTTGCAGTCAGTTCAATACACGTCATTTCTGCCGCTGTTTTCTCCTCAGGACGAGGACTCACACACATCCTCTGCTCCAGCATGGGGTCCCTCCCATGGTAGACAGACCTCTGTAAACTGCTCCAGTGTGGGTCTCCCACAGGGTCACAGGTCCTGACACCAAACCTTCTCCAGCATGGGCTCCTCTCTCCACAGGATCCACAGGTCCTGCCAGGAGCCTGCTCCAGCGTCGGCTCTCCATGGGGTCAGAGCTGTCCTCAAGTGCATTCACATGCTCCGGTGTAGAAGCATCCAGGTGCTGCAGGTCAATATCTGCTCTACTATGGACCTCCATGGGCTGGAGGGTCACAGCTGCCTTACCATGGTCTTCACCATGGGCTGCAGAGGAATCTCAACTCTGGCACCTGGAGTACCTCCTCTCCCTCCTTCACTGGCCTTGGTGTCTACAGTTGTTGCTCTCACATATTCTTACTCCTCTCTTTGGCCGCAATTGCTTCTCCACAATAACTTCTTTCCCCTTCTTAAATACATTATCCCAGAGGTGCTACCACTGTTGCTGATAAGCTTGGGCTAGGCCAGAAGCAGGTCCATCTTGGAGCTGGCTGGCATTGTCTCTGTGGGATATAAGGGAAGCTTCTGGCAGCTATTCACAGAAGCCAACCCTATAGCTCCCTTGCTACCAAAACCTGGACACACAAGCCCAGTATGGCCACACTTCTAAAGTTACAGAGGATTTCAACAAAAAAATTTGCTGTCCTTGCAGGTAAAATGTAGAAGCTAATGTAGAATGTATTAACAACTTTGCAATGATGTACTATGCCTGGTAATTATGCCGAAATACATTCCTCTTCTGTTTGTGTAGTTAAAGAAAGAAAATGTTGCTAGTAAATATGATCTTTAAAAAGGTTTAAACGTGTGTGTGCTGGTTTTGGCTGGGGTAGAGTTAATTTTCTCCTCAGTGGTTGGTATGGGGCTATATTTTGGATTTCTGCTGAACACAGGGTTGATAATATAGAGATGTTTCTGTTATTGCTGAGCAGGACTTACACAGACTCAAGACTTCTGCTTTTCATACTGCCATGCTTGTGAGGAGGTTGAGGGTGTATGGGAATTTGGGAAGAGACACAGCAAAGACAGGTGACCCTAACTGACCAAAGGGCTATTTCAGACCAAATGAAGTCATGCTCAGTATATAAAGCTGGAGGGAAGAAGAAGGAATGGGGGAATGTTCAGAGAGATTGTGTTTGTCTTCCTAAGTAACCATTACATGTGATGGAGCCCTGCTCTCCTGGAGGTGGCTGAACACCTGCCTGCCCATGGGAAGCAGTGAATTAATTCCTTGTTTTGCTTTGCTTGCATGCACAGCATTTGCTTTCCCTATGTCCTAGGTTACAATGTAAAGATGTGCCCAAAAGTATGTATTCTATCACCATCTGTTAAAACCAGGTGGGGCAGTGCTCTTTATCTTTTCCACAACCCATCCTTCCTCCAAGGAGATATCTTCTGTTAATGGGCCATTGAGTCCCACCACATGACTGATAAAATTACATCATCCCATTGTGAAATGCTCCACCCAGGTGGAGGAGCCAAACATTTCCTACCTAGATAAAAAATAAGATTTGGAACACCAAGGTAGCCCTTACCCACTGGTTTCCAGAGGACAAGAAATATCAGACCTTTCTACAGGATCACTACTTCAACAAGACCAGTTCATCCGGACTGCTACCACCACCCTAACTAGCGGGGTGTCAGGTTATATTCTAACTCTGTCAGTGGTTTTCCTTTTGTACTATTGCATGTATTTTATTTTTCTCTTTTTTTCCTATTAAATTATATTTCTGACTTGGAGTCTCTCACTGGTTTTGCTTTCAAACCATTACACCCTATTAAACTATTTTTATCTCAACCCACAAGTTTTCTCATTTTTGCTTTACTGATTCTCTCCCCCATCCCACCAGGGGCTGTGAGTGAGCAGCTTTGTGGTGCTTAGTTGCTGTCAGGGATTAAACCACAATAGTCCTTTAACGTGTTTAATGTGGGGCTCAAAGGGTTCGAGATAACAAGAGATTTGATTGGGATGTGCCAGATTGAATTTATAGCTCTTGATGCTGTTTAGCTAGTAATCGGCAGGCTCCTGCACTTGCCATGGGCTTGCTCGCCTGACTGTCTCTTAGTCTTGTGCTCATTAATGGCTGCTTTTTGCTTTCGCTGCTTGCTGTAGTGCTGTGCTGCTCATTACCTTACTCTGCTGTGCCTGGGAATGTTTTGACAACAGCCATTGAGATGTGCCTGGGCTGGGAAATGGCCAGGACATTGCTCCTGTGTTTGTGTTGCTGTGATGGACAGGCTGGAATTCCAGTGTGAACTCACGTTGAAGGGACTGTGACCTGTGGATGACTCCATGTGAGAGCAAATATCCACCTGCAGCCTGTGGAGGACTCCATGCCAGAGCAGGTAGATACCTTAAGGCTGCTGTGATGCCCATAATGGAGCAGGTTTCCTGGCAGGACTCATGACCCCATGGGGGACCTATGCTGGAGCAGCCTGGTTTTAAAGGACTGTACCATGTGGAAAGGACCCACACTGGAGCAGTTTGTGAAGAACTGTAGTCTATGGGAAGGACCCACATCAGAGAAGTTCAAGGAGGACTGTCTCATGTGGGTGGGAAGAGACACAGCCAGGACAGGTGACCCCAACTGACCAAAGGGATATTCCAGACCATATGACATCGTGCTCAGTATATAAAGTGGGGGAAGAAGGAGGAATGAGGGGACATTTGGACTGATTGTGTTTGTCTTCCCAAGTCACCACTGTGCCTGATGGGGCCCTGCTCTCCTGGAGATGGTTGAACACCTGGCTGTTCACGGGAAGGGGTGAATCAATTCCTTGTTTTGCTTTGCTTGTGTGTGCAGCTTTTGCTTTACCTGTTAAACTGTCTTTATCTCAAATCACGAGTTTTATAGCTTTTTACTCTTAAAATTCTCTCCCCAATTCTGCTGATGAGGGAGTGAGTGAGCAGCTGTGTGAGGCTTGGTGGCTGGATGAGGTTAAACCACAACAGTGTAACTAAACAATTCAGGAAATTTCAGCTCCGAAGCCATAGTAGGGCTGTTAAAATTTAACCTACCAGACACCAGTTCTCTTCCTCTACTCTGTCCTTGTGAGACCTCACCTGAAGTACTGCATCCAAGTCTGGGACCCCCAGCACAAGAAAGACATGGATGTGTTGGAGTGGGTCCAGAGGAGGGTCATGAAGATGATCTGAGGGCTGGAGCACATCTCCTATCAAGACAGGCTGAGAGAGTTGGGGCTGTTTAGCCTGGAGAAGAGAAGGCTCCAAGGAGACCTTATTGTGGCCTTCCAGTAATGAAAGGGTGTGGGAGACCAGAACATTCCCCTGAATGATCTGGCTCGGATCCAGAGACCTGGAACGGCTGCCGACGCTGGCAGAAGAATTACAAGCCAAAAAAAGTTTAGATAGTGTAGGAATAAACTTATCGTAGAGTGAAACTTGTAGATGTACAGGGGGGTTTGAGGGGACAAGATGGAGGAATTTGGGTGTATCCTGTCCTTCTTCCTTCTTCTTCTTACCCTCCATCTTCCCTTGGGGTGTTGGCATGCAGTGATTGGATTTAGCTGGGAGAGCACAGTTCAATAATAGCAATAGGTATTGGTATAGATTTGTAAACAGGTTCTACGTAAATTTCTGTATAAAAATCTGTGCCATCCCCCTGAGGGGGGAGAACCTCGTGTGCTGCCCTGCTAGACGGACCTGCTGCTCTGTGTGAAACGACCTTGTAGATAAGAGAACAATAAACAAGATTCCTGAGACCGAGACTGAGGCTTCTGCGTGCTCAATTGAAAAATCAGCAAAAAATCCAAGAGCTGGGGAAAAGAAATTCCCTGGATCTCGGGGTCAAGCTGACCCCGGGTTCCCACAAAAGGGGACTTATAAAAAAGAGGGAGAGCAATGGGCAGATAGGGACAGGAGATTCAGATTAGGTGTTAGGAAGAAATTCTTTATTCAGAGGGTAGTGAGGCACGGGAACAGGTTGCCCAGAGAAGTTGTGGATGCTCCATCCCTGGAAGTGTTCAAGGCTGGGTTGAATGGGCCCCTGAGCAACCTGATCTGGTAGGTGGTATCCCTGCCCATGGCAGGCGGGGTTGGAACTAGGTGATCTATAAAGTCCTTTCCAAACCAAACCTTTGCATGATCCTATAATCAAAGGCTGCCTTCTTCAGTAGCCCACAACACTGTAGAGTACTGAACAGGAAGGGCTATTCCTATCCTACAGACATAGCCTTAATCCTTCTGAACCTAACTATCCCAGGGTCACAGATCACAGTATATTCTGAAAGGGACACACAAGTATCATCAAGTCTGACTCAGGTGAATGGCCCATATGGGAATTGAACCCATAACCTTGTTCTTATTAACACCATGCTCTAACCAACTGAGCTAATCTCAGTGTCTAATGTTCTTTAAACAAAATATCAAAATCTTGTAGCACGAAAACCAAAAGATACATTGTGCTTTGCTAGAAAGCTTTCACCAGCAGTAAGTTATAGCCTGCCGAAAAGAGAGATGTTACATATCTCTGGAAGAAGGCAAAAAGAATCACCTGCATGGAAACTCCACAATAATGACATTTCACTAAGATCCAAAGGGACAAAACAAGTCTCTTCAGCTAAAAGCTGCAAGCCCTCACTCAAAATATGTATTTCCCTTCAAAGGGAAAATTCCTCTTTTGTTCAAAGTTACAAACCTTTGTTGGCGGTATTTCTCCATGCAAAAAAACCCACCCAAGAATTCTAGTGTTTCAGCCTTTAAAATAAAAAACTTACTTGTTATTATTTAAGGACAATAAAAGATTTGCATGCAGAAAAGCATGTGTTTATTACTATTTATGGAGCAGGCATGTTTCACCTTTGCCCTTCAGCTGCTGCAGTTCAAAATGTTTTACTGTGTTGAGAGCTTTGTAGAATCTTAGTTGAGAGAAAGAGCTTTGTAGAAAAGATTCAGTTAGTAAGGAGATAGAATGCAGGTGTCTTCAAGGACATGAAACAGTAACAGTGCGATAAAAGGGAAAGCTGGACAAGCTTGAAGGCCACAAGGCATCCAAAGAATGTTGCTATAGGGGCGGGGATGATCGCTGCACAGGATCCAATGATGTACTTAGTTTTGCAATATGCATGAGCTTAATTATCACCTGTATATAAGTATCAGCCTTCTGATTAATAAACGAGACTTGTCGATACCACCGGGTATGATTTGTCTCCCGCCAGACCGCTACATTACTGTTTTCAAACCATCACATGACCAGTAATTCAAGCTCTGCTAACATTTTCAATGCACAAAAGCTTCGCATTATACAAAAATGCATGTAGAAAAGCAGTTAGAGCATTAAGACAACATATCAAACATTAATGCGAAGTTATTTTGTTTCTGCTGAATATTCACCTCAGAAACAAAAAAAACCCAAAAAAATATTAAAAGGGTAAAATATAGCTTTTTCAGCTGATCTACTTTTGGAAGGAAACTGCCAAAGTGCCATCAGGAGGAAAGCATTAAGCCATTGCAAAGTAAGTTTGCCAAAATATGTTTGACAGCATCCAATCTATTAAGTAAAAACATTCTGGGACTGTAAAGCTGCCTGATAAATGAAAATTCACAGAATCACAGAATGATTGGGGTTGGAAGGGACCTCTAGAGATCATGTGGTCTAACCCTCTGCTAAAGCAGGTTCACCTAGAACACATGGCACAGGATTGCATCCAGGTAGGTTTTGAATATCTCCAGTGAGGAAGACTCCACAGCCTCTCTGGGAAATCTGTTCCAGTATGTGGCCACTCACACAGTAAAGTTCTTCTGCATGTTCAGGTGGAACTTCATACTATTACAATGTTGTATTTGCCAGCACAAGTATATACACTTCAGACATCCTTCTGAGTTTTGTCACAGAAAATAAATACTTTAAAACAAAAAAAAACCTTCAAACTGGAGGGCACTAAGGAGGAAAAATGACAGTGGAATGCAGGGAAACAGCAGCAGGTTAGCTTTCAGTTACTCAAGTCAAAAGCAAGTTTTGAAATAGAAAGTTCTAATTCAACTGGATAAGCAGCAAATCTACTACACTAAATAAGCATCATCAATAGCATCTCATAAACTTAATTCATTTCTACTGTCATCCTATGTTAAAAAGCATCTTCCTCAATCTACCTGTCTGAAGCTGTACTGTCAAAGACAATGACCAAAATGAGCAAAACCTAATCAGAACAAGCAGCCATGTAAAATTCTGAGGAGGGGAGGGGAAGAGAAAATTTACACTGAAATTTCACATTGCTGTGACTCAAGAAAATTAAAAAATAATTCAAAATTGTAAAGTGCAAAAAACAAAGAAAAAACTCTCATTCAAAGGGAGCTACATTCATTTTTTATTCAGTCAAAAACATAGCAAGCTACTATTAAGTGAACTTTAACTGAAAACATACTTTGAATGATTCTCTCATATTAAACTTTAACTACGTCTTTGTCCTGGTTGCAGTTGGGAAAGAGGTAATTTTCTTCTCAGTAACTGGTACAGTGCTGTGTTTTGGATTCAGTGTGACAATAATGCTGATAACACACTGATGTTTTGGTTGTTGTTGAGCAGTGCTAACCCTGAGTCAAGGGCTTTTCAGTGTCTCATGCTCTGCTAGGGAGGTGCTGCACAAGCTGGGAGGGAGCACAGCTGAGACATGATTTTAACTGGCCAAAGGGATACTCCATACCATAGAATGTCGTGCTCAGTATTTAAACTGGGGGGAGTTGGCCAAGAGCCACTACTGCTCGGGGACTGGCTGGGCATTTGTCAGCAGGTGGTGAGCAACTGTATTGTGCATCACTTGTTTCTCTTGAGTTTTATTCCTTTCCCTCTCTCCTTTTCATTACAATTACAATTACTATTATTATTATTTGGTTGAAATTATTAAACTATTCTTATCTCAACCCATGAGATTTACTTTT